AAAGGTTAACTACTAAAAGGCCTTTAAGGTATTAGGGCTTGTTCCTACTAATATATAGGTAGTGTTAGATTGCCTTAAAGTATAGCTGCATAACCTACTAGTAGTACCTCTACCTAAAACACTATAGTAATCTAAGACACTAAGTAATACACACAAGTTTAGCTCTTAATCTAAGCTTATAAGTAACTCCTTCTAACAATTACTAAGTACAGTGTAAGAGGGGTTCTTAAAGCTTATAAAAGGGGCTAAAGAGATACTGCACAAAAACATCCTTATTAAGGCCTATGTGTGAGAGCTTAAAGAGCAATTAGTAGTAATAACTAAGAGAAAATCGCGTAAGAGAAAGTAGATTCAGCATGGTGGCACACTTGAGTATGGCCCAGCAGCATTGCGGGTAGCTGCTAAGGCGTGTGTAGCAGCTCAGCTATCTAAGAAGACTTAGGGTGGAGGTGGTTAACTAGGAGCTTAGTCAACTGTTTAGCGCTGTAGGAACTACAGTAAAACTAGACACAACACACAAACGTGCTAGGAGGGTGTAGAAACATCTTCTAAATCTAATGCAAGTATATAGTATACTAGGTTACTATTTAATAGCAAGTAGTTGTAGTTGCAGTAACTTGTGTTAGTCGTGCTAAGAGAAAATGGCTGGTTTGGTGATATGGCCGGCTTGGTGATAATCTACGTTATCACTGAACTAGCCACTTTCTCTTAGCACAACCACCTTTTACCCTAACACAACATGCCTTAACAACAACAACTTTAGAATACTACTAGAGAAGGTAGAGTTATCCTTACTATCTAGGCCTTCTATGCTAGCTAATTTCGCAGTATCTACAGCGCTGCTAGAGCGTTGAATGTACCTTATTAGTAGGTCTCTAATTACCTTTGCAATATTACGTTTTAACTAGATATACACGCTAATTGCTAGAAACTTACTATACTAGAGGAGCAGACAATTATCTAGTATATACTTAACCTTAATTTGCAAGGATTTGCGCCCTAGCTATGTAAGGTGGCAGATATAGCTAATAAGATACTTAGTGTGCATAGTAAAGAGCCTGTTAGCAAACTATAGGCTAGCAGGCTTGTAACACGTTTAGACAAGCTTAAAATAGCCTTTAATTAAGCTAAGGATAGACAGAGGATACTATAGGAAGATCCTAAGATAATTAGTGTGTATTTTAAGCTAGTAGAGGATACTTAAGTTAAGTATAGTATTTATAATAATAACATGCACAACTTTAATAAAACTAGGTTCTAGATAGGTATTGCTTTGTCTCTAAAGGTTGTAACAGGCTTAGAGAGACGTGCTTAGCTAGAGCTTGTTCAGCCAGGTGATTGCGAGTAGGTTACCGTTATCTAGAGCATCTGCGCCGCTGGGTATGCAACCCCGCCTTTTATTATCTACAAAGGACGCGTCCACATCTCTGCCTAGTATAAGGAGATAGATATACCCTATAATTAGAAGCTCTTAGTCTCTAAGAACAGTTAGATAAATAACATACTTAGCCTTAAGTAGTTAAAGTACTTTAACACGCATATAAAGACGTGTTAGGTAGGAGTGTATAGGTTCCTTATCTTAGATAGCTATAAGAGCTATCTTAACTAGGAGTTTAAGGACTATTACCTAGAGAACTAAATCCTTACTCTCTATATACTACCTTACTTATTATATATCCTCTAGCTACTTAATATAGTCTATTTCTTGCTATTAAAGTATAAGTACTCCTAATATATTTAAGACTTAGCATACTAATATATCTTCTATATTAATAAGTGTCGCAGCAGATATCATGCCTATTTACCAGCCAATTCAGGGGTGCAAATGTATGTACATTTTGCCTCTATTTTGGCTGCAACAGTTATGAGCCCGGACGCTGAAACTGCGCAAGCAAAGATTGAATGGATTTTCGTGTTCTATGGGTGACCATAGCCGAGGGTCTTGGCATGGTACCTGCTCTGTTGGCGTGCTATCTGCAGCAATAGAGCATCGCGAAGAAGGATTCATCTATTACTTAGCACATTAGGCATTCTGCTGCGTTGTGTCACCTCCAATTATGCTGTCCTGGTTGGACGTGAGGGGGTGTGTCGCAGCAGATATCATGCCTATTTACCAGCCAATTCAGGGGTGCAAATGTATGTACATTTTGCCTCTATTTTGGCTGCAACAATAAGGAAGGCTTCCTACTAGCCTTTAGGGACATATTCCTTAATATATTTATAAAGGTTAACTACTAAAAGGCCTTTAAGGTATTAGGGCTTATTCCTACTAATATATAGGTAGTGTTAGATTGCCTTAAAGTGCAGCTATATACCCTACTAGTAGTACCTCTACCTAAAACACTATAGTAATCTAAGACACTAAGTAATACACATAAGTTTAGGTCTTAATCTAAGCTTATAAGTACCTCCTTCTAATAATTACTAAGTATAGCATAAGAGGGGTTCTTAAAGCTTGTTAAAGGGGCTAAAGAGATACTATATAAAAATGTCCTTATTAAGGCCTACGTGCAAGAGCTTAAAGAGTAATTAGTAGTAATAACTAAGAGAAAATCGCGTAAGAGAAAGTAGATTCAGCATGGTGGCACACTTGAGTATGGCCCAGCAGCATCACAGGTAGCTGCTGAGGCGTGTGTAGCAGCTTAGCCATCTAAGAAGACTTAGGGTGGAGGTAGTTAAATAGGAGCTTAGTTAACTGTTTAGTGCTGTAGGAACTATAGTAAAACTAGACACAACGCACAAACGTGCTAGGAGGGTATAGAAACATCTTCTAAATCTAATATAAGCACACAGTATACTAGATCACTGTTTAATAGCAAGTAGTTGTAGTTGTAGTAACTTGTGTTAGTTGTGCTAAGAGAAAATGGCTGGTTTGGTGATATGGCTGGCTTGATGATAATCTACGTTAACGTAAACCCCCAGCACCTGGGCCAACCCAGCACCTAGGCCATTTCTTGCCAAGACTATAACTATTAATATTAACATGTAATGCCTTACTAACAAGATATACAATTATCTAAACAAGAGGGTAGAATTAATCTTGCCCTTTCTACTTTCTAATTATATAAATTTAAAAGCCTCTAAAGCGCTGCTTAGGCATTTAACATACTGCATATAACCTTAAGTGCTAGGTATAGAGGCAGACTCTATATTAATAATAGATGTAACACACAATATAAGCTTATGCACACTAAAGAGCAAACAATTATATAATATATTCTTAACCTTAATTTGCAAGGATTCGCGCCCTAGCTATGCGAGGTGGCAGATATGGCTGACAAACTGTTAGGTGTACGCGGTAGGCAGCCTGTTAGCAAGCACTAGGCTGGGCGCTTTGTAACGCGTTCAGCTGCGCTTAAGATGGCCTTTAATTAAGCTAAAGATAGGCAGAGGATGCTGCAGGAGGATCTAGAGACAATTAGCGCGTGGTTTAAGCTAGTAGAGGACATAAAAGCTAAATACAGCGTACACAACTACAATATATATAACTTTAATAAGACTAGCTTCTAGATAGGTGTTATTAGCTTAATAAAGGTTGTTATAGGCACAGAGAGACGTAATTAACCTTAGCTTGTTTAGCTAGGTAATTATAAGTAGGTAATAGTTATCTAGAGCATCTACGCTGCTAGATCTTGTACCCTACCTTTTATTATCTACAAAGGACGCGTTCACATCTCTGCCTAGTACAAGGAGGCAGATATACCACGCAATTAGAAGCTCTCTGTCTCCAAGAGCGGCTGGACAAACAACGCGCTTGGCCTTGAGTGGCTGAAGCACTTCAACGCGCATACAAAGGTGAGCTAGGTAGGGGCGTACAGGCTGCTTATTTTAGACAGCTATAAGAGCCACCTTAACTAGGATTTTAAGGACTACTGCCTTAAAAACATAATCCTTACCCTCTATATACTACCTTACTTATTATATTTCCTCTAGCTACTTAATATAGTCTACTTCTTGCTATTAAAGTGTAAGTACTCTTAGTGTATACAAGACTTAGTATATAAGCATATCTTCTATATTAATAAAGAAGGCTTTCTCCCTACCTTAAGGACGTGTTTTTTAATATATTTATAGCAGAGAACTATTATAAGGCCTTTAAGGCAGCAGGGCTAGTCCCTCTTAATATATAGGTTGTGTTAGATTGCCTTAAAGTGCGCCTGCGTACCCTGCTAGAACCCCTCCTCCTAGAGATACTGTAGTAGTTAAAGACTCTAAGCAATACCTACAAGTTTAGATCTTAGTTAAAGCTTGTACATAAGTCTTTTACTTAGTTGCCTATTACTACACAAGCAGGCTTCTCTTAGCTTGTTAGAGGTGGCGAGCTTATGCTGTATTAGAACGCGCTTTAAGCAGCCTAGATTACTAAGCTTGAAGAGCAATTAGCAGTAATAACTAAGCAGAAATCGCGCAAAAGGAAGCAGATCTAGCAAGGTGGTACTATAGAGTATGGTGAGGCAGCAGCTCAGGTGGCTGCAGAGGCCTTTGTAGCCGCTGAGCGGTTAAAGAAGGCTTGTGGTAGTAGTGATTAAGAACAAGCTTAACTAGCTCTATAGCGCTGTAGAAACTGTGGAGGGACTAGACACAACGCGCAAATGTGCAAAAAAGATATAGAGGCATATTCTAAATTAGATATAAGCACAGTGTACGCAGGCTCTATGTTAAATAGCGATGAAATTGAAGAGTTGTAACGTGAGTTAGTACTGCCAAGCTTTTTTGGCCCGGGTGCTGGGTTGGCCTGGGTGCTGGGGGTTTACGTTAGTGCTAGCAGAACTAAGGGTAGCTATGCAACAACGTTGCAACATTGTTTTAAGTTTGTTAAATATAGGCACTTAGCATTTTAGCTGTTAGCAACGTTGGCGCGAAATTAGGGCTGTTGGGCGCAAATTGGGGCTGTTGGGGCCGTTGAACGGCTGTTGCACGACCATGCCACGACTGTCAGCAACAGCCAGTCTGGGCCAGATTTCGAAAAACTTTTCCCGATGTAGTAATATTTCAATTTGTGGAATTAAAATGAAAACATATTAGTTAACCAGACAGCTACGAAGTATAAGCCCTTGTCCTCGCCCTCGTCCTTCCTCTTGCCCTTGCCAAGGCCCTTCCCTCAATTACCCCCAACGTGCTTTACCGCCTCCGCACATCCAATAGCTGCTGTTAGGAACGCAGCGATTGGAATAGAAGCGCATTCAATGAAAGCTGTAATAACAGGTCCGGTAGAAAGCCCAGCTGTCTCTGGAGCAGTGAACACTTCTGCTGCAAGAGCAGCTGTTGCGCATGCAGACACTCTGCCAATTGCTAAGGTTCCAGCTGAGCTGAGGCACAGAATGCAGATGCCTGACTTTAAGCATGCTGTTACTGCACCATCCTTCTTTTCATCTGTGTTGATCTCATCGTCATACAGGTTTTTTTTATTCTCAATCTGAACTTTTGCTTGAGCTGGTGTTGCATCTCGTTTGTCTAGTCCAGTTCCGAAGTCCAGTACATTGTGCAGGAGAGAGAACATGCGATGTGTAGTCTTGTCGTCCCATGCTGCGAGGACGTCGTAGGGCTGATCTAGGAAAGTGGCCCACTGGGTAGCGTTGACAGCTGAAAAATCATCTGTGTTGTCCCACGATTGGAGTTCCACAACAGCCTCTATGCTGACACCTTTTAGGCTTGGAACTGTTGACAGGGCGACAGAAGTGGCAGCAACAAGCTGAGCGCCAAAGGCGAAAGATGCAGCCAATGTTGAGTAACGCATTGTAATGATGTTGCGTCGTTAGACAGGATCAATAGGTAGAGAACCTAGTTGTGAAGGACTGTAGAAGAGTTTGTTGTTCTGTTGAATGACTGAATATTATGCCAGCAGATGTTGTAGACTTTATGTCCTTTACTATAATCTGCACGCATTGTTAACTTGTGTCAAAACTTACCCTTTCTAGTACGAAGTAAAAGAGGCTAACTTCTCTAGAGAGTTACAAACACTACTTATGCTTCTACACCCCTCTAAGCAAGGGTATAGGTCCGCACAAGGATGTTAGACCGCACAAGAGATGTGACCGCGCAAGGATGTTAAGCCGCGCAAGAAACAAGACTGCGAAAAAGATACGCCCACGAAAGAAATAGGACCGCGAAAGAAATAGGACCGCGAAATAGGTACAAGCGCGAGAGAGATACGACCGCGCGAGATACATGGCCTGACAAGTATGTTAGACTGCCCAAGCATACCTACCTATTACACTGCACAACAATCTTAGACCGCGCAAGGAATAAAACCACGCAAGCAATAGGACCGCGTAAAGTTACACACGAATGTTGAACCGTGCAAAGAATGCAGTCTCCGCCTGCCGTGTAGATCGTTACCGGGCGAGTTAGTCACAAAAGCCTTCTGGACCTCACTCCTATCGCAATTAAGCTTTGCTCGGCGTTGCTTCGACCCACGGTAAATCTCCTAGCGCTGTCTACTCTGAGGTTCAGAGACAGGGGAGGCGCTAGTTCCTTCGACTAGTACAAATAAATTGGTTGGTTTCCATACCTGGTCTTGCCCATACAGTGCAAAGGAACGCTAACAGTTGGTTGAGGAGGAAGGCTTTAGGACTACATGTTCTACTGTAGTGTGTGTTGAGTCTTCTTGCTGCCTGGCGGACGCCTGTAAGCTAAACAATAAAGAGAAGTGTGAGCACCTTGCCACGTGTTTTTGATCGGTGACTTAACGCCAGAGTCAATGCGCAAATACGAGAAAAGAGTGGTCGTCCAAATTGTCGTCTCAGGTCTGACACAGGTCGAGATTGCTACCTCGTACGACAGAGTTAATGCGCAAAGACAAGAAGAGAGTACCTGGTCGTTCAAATCGTCCTTTGACACAGGTCGAGATCGCTACAGGAGCGCAAATACGAGAAGTAGTATTAAGCACTGATGTTGAGTAATGGGGCTTCTACTGGTCCATGCACATCGGAGGTACTCTTGGGAGAACACGGAACAAGCGTACTGTTCCTATAGGTCAAATAACAACAAAACTCGGCTCTTTTACTAGATGCGACGGCTTAATATCTCTGCTCCAGATTGCCTTACACAGAGCTCAGGTAGGGATCCTGGATACGGTAACGCGCATTGCAGACAAATTGTCTCATCTGGCCAAGAACTAAGTAGATGGAGGCTGGAACATCTAAGCAGCCATGGAAGCATTGACGTTCTAGATCGAACAGATTATTCAAGGCAATTTAAGTGCAACTGCACGTTGTTATGAAGAGAGCACAGTTTATAAGCTTGCCGTTCAGTCCCGAACAAAATCACATTCCACACACAATCAATCAACTATATCCACTTCTAACCTTCGATCAATCAGTCAATCACTTAACCAGTCTTCTATTAAGCCCGTCTTATACAGTAGGTTTTCACCCATCTTTCACCAAAATATTACTAATATATCTAGGAAATGCAATCTATCATCGTAATCGTCGCTGCGGCCCTTGGTCTTGCCTTGCCTACCATTGCCATGCCTCTTGAAGGCTCTTCCGCGCTCGAAGTCCGAGGAACTACGAACTATATTCTTACTTGTGAGGATAAGCTCTGGAAAGATGCCGCATCAGATGTCAACGGTCGAGAACTTTTCACCTTTGTGTGCATCACAAAGCTCGGGTGTGCGCACTCAGAGGCTCCTTCTGATTCCGCGAATGAGTACATTGGCGGCTGCCTCGACTGTCCCGCGAACATCAGAACTGACGCATTTGGTGGCTGCGTTATTGTTAAGCAGTAAGTCTGCGTCTGCTAAGGGAAAACTGTACCAGTACCATAGAGTAGCAATTTGTATCTATTAACCTTGCTTAAGTTAACGTAAATACTAAGCGAGTGAGCCATCAAAGCAAGTAAGCCACCCAACCAACTTTACGCACCTTTACAATTATATATCTTAATAACGTGATAATGTGATGTTTACATGTTTATAGAGTAAATTAAGCAGTATCTAAAGTATCTTTTTTGCACGTATGCAAGTTGTGTCTAGTCTCTCTGCATCTCTTGCAGCGCGCGAGTGCCTGGCGGCTGCAGCCTAATTGCTCTCCTCCTTGACGCTCTTCACGAGCAATCTGCTAATCAGCCTCACGTTGAGCGAGTATATCCTCTCCAGCTCCCTTTGTTAAGATCCCACACTGCTGTATACGCCTTTTTTACGCTGTTTGCGCGCTGACGCTGCCTCATTAGCCTTCTCAAGGCTGGCAATCCGATCGCGCATCAGCTCAGCTGAGAGCATCACTACCTTAGCACCCTTCTTGAGCTGGTTAATCGCCTCAATAATTGAAGCTGGCGATAAGCTCTTGTGCCGCTGCACGCGATCGCGTATTAACGTCGATTGAGCATTAAGTTCACGTACGTTGCTTGGCGTACGAGCTTCCCAGAGAGCCTCTGGCAGGGTATCTGGAGTAGGTGTACGTAGCTGCACGTTAAGCTTTAAGAGCACAGCGTTTAGTTGGAGAGGCACAAGGCTTGTACCTTAAAAGGCTGAGCAGATATTAGCTGAGGTGAACAATTGACTAAACGCTGCCTTAAAGGCTAGCAGGAACTCAAGCTTAGTGATATGGTTGATGTGGTGGTGGATAAGGCTCTAAACCTTACGGCTATACGCGCGCTTCAACAGCAAGAAGCAGCCAACGTCAAGCAGCTGCAGTAGATAAGATGAGTGAGGCAGCATGCAGAGCGTATAGATATTGTTCTCCTTGCAGAGCTCTTGAAACTCAAGAGAGTGGTGGCTCTCATAGCCGTCAAGGACGAGCAGGCGACGCGCACCAACAACGCGAGTCTTTGTGTAAGCGTTAAAGTGCTTCAGCTACTCTACTCCTAGCTTATTATTTTTCTAGCTATTATTACTAACTGCAATTACCTAGTTGCGTGGGATCTCTGCTTCCTTGTACCAGGTAGATAGATAATACTAGCTAGCAAATATAAGGAACGGCAGGACTAACCAGCCAGCAGCATTGATCACAGCAATCGCCGTCACCTACTCGCGATTACCTGCCTGAATAGCCTTATGCCTGCCTCTTCTTTCTAACCCTGTTACAACAAGTTAAGTTATAATTCTGCCTATTATAAAGCTAGCCTTGTTAAAGTTGTATACTTTATTATTGCAGATGCTGTACTTAGCCTTTGTCTCCTCTACAAGCTTAAACTAGCTCCTAATTAGAGCTAGATCCTTGCATAGAGCTCTCTGCCTATTGTATGCTTGATTGAAACATGTCCTAAGACTGTCTGTACGCTTAACAAAGTTGCTTAGCCAGTCTCTGCCTACAGGAGAGCTAAAAGGTAGTGAATTAATACTAACGTGTCACACAATCGAGCACCTCAATTGAGGGTGTGGAGCTTGCCAGCCCGGATAAACCGGGACGAGCACCTCTGGGTCTAAACCAGAAGCTCGTTTCATCCGTTCTTCGTTGACGAGCTACCGGATAATCGGCCAACTGCTCACTTATCTCGGATCATGTGATCCACACATATTTCCTATGTATATAAACCTTACTTTCGTGATAGGATAGACAGCCACTGATCAAATACTTTCGATCACCTGAGTATAGTCCCACAGGCTCCGTGACATAACGTGTTTCACAAGCGAGCGCCGCACCCAACCGAGCGCCGCACTTTCAATAACAGAACACCTGCGCAGCGCTATATCACAACACAACACAAATAAATAATTGTTTACAGGCCTAGATAGTATTATTTAGAAGCTTTACTATTATCTATATCCTCTATTTCTACCTTATAAGTATAGGAATTATATCTAATCTTACTATAACACCTACAGCGTTGTCTAACACACACCCTCCTTATAGGTATCTTGCCCTTACTACAACCCCTACCCTCCTTTTTAGTAATTAAGTTAGCTACTTTACTAACTATAAGGCTCTCCTCTATATGTATATATTATTGCTTACAGGTCTTGCACTTTATAGACGCTTCTATAGTGTCTTAAAGGTAGCCTATTTCCTCCTATATTAATACTATATTATAAGCTATCTACTAAGCACCCTTTACTAACTATTTAATCTACTTATCTAACAAACTTGCTAGAGACCCTTAATAGATTTAAATCTACTTTTAAATTAGAGTTAACTACTCCTCTACTCTATAAGTAGTGTGTGGTGTCTTTAGCTCCTAGGCAATGTTGCTAGATTTTAGTGATGTTAGCGTGCGTAGGCGCACATTAAGCTTTAATAACACCACCTCTAGGTTATGTAGGACTAGCCTAGCACCTCTAAAGCCTGCACGAACATTCTCTCTAGTAAATACCTTACTAAATACTAATTTAAAGGCTAGTAGGAAGGTTTCCTTATTAATATAGTAGATGTGACTGCGTGCTAAGGCTGAAACCTTGTCGCTATACAGGCGCTTTAGTGGCGAGAAGCAGGCGACGTTAAGTAGCTGCAACAGGTGCGACAAGTGCAGGGGCATACAGAGAGTAATTATCTTCTTCTCTCTGCAGAGATCTTAGAAAGCTACTAAGTAGTGGCTCTTATAGCTATTAATAATAAGTAGCTAGTAGACCCTAACTAGCTTTGCATGCGTATTAAAGTAGTAGAGCTAGGCAAGCACTAGATTATTATTAGTCTAGCTAGTAGGACTAATATTAATAACCTAGTCCTATAGGAGGTCCTTAGTAAACTAGTTAGAGATAAGAACCTTGCCTATAAGGATAAGGAATAGTAGGATAACCTTCTCTATTAACCTAACACCTTATACTAGGGTAACCTACTTATAATTACTAGGTTAGATCTTCTTCTACTTCCTAGGCTTCTCTAAGCCTATTACTACTAGCTATAACAAGATCTTGCCTATTAGGAAGCTATACTTATTAAAGTTGTACACATCCTTGTCTATAATACTATACTTTGCCTTTATAGACTGAACAAGCGTGAACTAGGGCTGGATAACTGCTAGGTCCTCGCAGGCAGCCCGCTGGCGATCGTATGGGCGGGTCCACCGCTTCTAGAGCTCTGGTGTACGCTTTACTAAGTTGTCAACCCAGTTCTTGCCAACAGGCTTTGCGCCGCGCTCTCTTAGCAGTTTATCTGCTATATCTTGTACGTCTGCCTTTAAGGAGGGTACATCGGGAAAAGTTTTTCGAAATCCGGCCCAGACTGGCCGTTGCTGACAGTCGTGGCATGGTCGTGCAACGGCCGTTCAACGGCCCCAATGGCCCCAATTTGCGCCCAACAGCCCTAATTTTGCGCCAACGTTGCCAACAGCCAAAACACTAAGTGCCTATATTCAACAAACTTAAAATGTTGCGGTATGAAGAGCAAATGCATATAATGAGTGTATTGTGTTCTGTGTTGTTGTTGTTGTTGTTGTATCTATATTCTCTAAGGCTCGCTGTAGGGTTTGTTTTGATGACGTCTTTGTAACACAGCTAAGGTAAGAGGTGCTTAACAATATAAGGAAGTAACACTAGACTACTGCTAACAACACGTGATCTGCTTCTCCTCTTAACTATTACACACCCCCTTATCCTGTAGTTACTTTGCAACAGAAGGATAAACCCCTTAGCTATTGTTCTCTATCTTACAAACCTTTAAGCGAACATCTATAAGCTGTAGTTGCTGTATAAATTTAATATGCTTCTAATAATAAAGAATCTTTGTTATGCTGTTAGCAGGCATCTAGCTTGTAGGCCTCTAGTAGATGTAGAGTTAATTCTACTTAACCTCCTAGTAGATCTAGTTCTAATAAATATTAACGTGTTTAAGCTTAGTACTAAGCTTGTCCTGCTCCTTTATAACTATGCCTATAGTCTATTAGTTATTGCACTAAATAATAGGCGTCTAGTTAAGCTTTAAAGATAGTCCTTTAAACAAGTAGCACTACTCCTCTATCTCTAATCTAGCAAGTAAGAGAGCAAGTAGCTCTGCTTCTGTTGTTAATTTTGTGACAGTGTGTTGAAGTGTTAACTTCTAGTTAATAGTTATGCTAAATAGCTAAAATACATAACATGGTTGGCAAGCGAGTTGGTCAGACAAGCGAGTCGGTCACCCCACTAACTTTGATCACCTACTCTATCTTAACACACAATGCCTCCACGCCACGCTCTGCTCATACAGTTAAATAAAGCAGATATTTAGCTTGCTCTCTTATCTATAGATTCTGCCTAAATTCAGAGTACGCGACGCGCTGCTACAGTCTTTAATATCCTAAAATTAACCCTAATTGACTAGCGCGCTGGAAAGCGCGCGCGACGCGATTGCCAGCCTAACTCAAGGAAGCTTACCTAGAGAGAAGAGGAGGTGATTGTTAGCTATATACTTCACCTAGATCAGCGTGGATTTGCGCCTACCTACGCAGCTGCACGTGATATGGCTGATAAGCTGCTGGCTGCACGCGGCGCTGGCCAGGTTGGGCAGAAGTGGCCAGCTAACTTTGTTAAGCGTACAGACAGTCTTTAGACGTGTTTTAACTAAGCGTACAATAGGTAGCAAGCTCTGTGTAAGGATGTAATATTAATAAAGAGGTAGTTTAAGCTTATAGAAGAGACAAAGGCTAAGTAGGGTATCTGTAATAAGGACGTCTATAACTTTAATAAAGCTAGCTTTATAATAGGCAAGATTACAACGCAGCTAGTTATAACAGGAGCAGAGAGGAGAGGCAGGCCAAAGACTCTTCAGCCAGGCAATCGCGAGTGGGTAACGCTAATCGCTGCTATCAGCGCTGCTGGCTAGTCAGTGCCACCATTCCTCATCTTCGCTGGTTAGTACCACCTATCAGCCTAGTATAAGGAGGATATCCTACGCGACTAGGCAATTGCAGTCAGCAACAATGGCTAGACAAATAATAAGCTTGGAGTTAAGTGGCTAAAGCACTTCAACGCTTACACGCAGGCTCGTAGTATAGGCGCGCGTCGCCTGCTTATT